GGGGGGCACACTTGCTTTCTAAATTAATGCTTCACTCATTGGTCCGTGGGGGTTGGTTATAATCCATGGGCCCGATCCAGCCCATTTTTCACCGCACGCTTCTGCCACTCTCATGACAGCGTACTACAGCACGCCCTTTCGGAACTGCCGTGGATGCCACTCCACTGGGAACTGGACTTTGTTACTGCAGTAAAAGCCCACAAATTACCATTTAAAAAGATATTTGTGAGCCTATTTTGGAAGTTATAGTTTAACATAAAAGCACACTTTTCCCCACAGTTTCTGAAAAAACAGCTTAATCTCATTCTACCCCCTTTACTATAAATTTAATCTTTTCAGGGGAGTGGTAGATTGAGTCCTTTTTACCTTAAGCAACAGCCTCCTCCCTCCCCTCCCCCATGCCACCAGTAACCTGCAAACCTGATTGTCATGATGTGGTTTTAAGGCAGCAGCTACCCACAGCTTGGTTTGAAAGTCTAATAGGCAGCAGTGTCAGAATCCATTCTGAAACCTGTGCAGGCCTTATCTACTGAGACTGTGCACCCACATACTGCAGGGCACACATTTTTTAAGCCTCCTGAAAAATACAATTAAAAAAAAACAAAAAAACAAAAAACACTCCGTTTAAGTTGCAATACATTTATGCCTCAGAAAATTCTAGGTTCAAGGCAAGCTTTATTTCTATGCTGAACCTATCCAGCTCTGCACTTCAGAGCATGTGTGTAAAACAGAGCAAAAGTTATACAGGAGGCATGTTAGCTAAGCTGCTAAGGTCAGTCAGATTACCATCACCAGATGCAAGCCAAGCATCCTTCTACATAACTAGACCAGTGAATCACTTCTTTATAAAGAAGCTGAGTATCTCAAACTCAGCACTGCCCTGACACCACCTAAAAGGCAAAATCAATTAAACCATAAAAAAAACTGGCGAGTGGCCACTTTGAAAGGAGAAAAAAAGTCTTAAGTTAACCAACCAAAATACGAAGTTGTTAATGATGCAAATTAATTATTTTTTTTCAAAACTAATAGAGGGTAATATTTTAGGATTATGAGCTCAAATTAAATCCAGGTTCAATATCAGGCTTATTTCAAATGCCTTCTAAAGGATGGATTTTGTCAGAAGACTTTACATACAAGCTAATAAAGATTAGTTTTCTACAACAGTAAACATTCAAACTTTATAATTCAACTTTACTTAAGCCTTCATAAGGCCTGGGTGCAAACCTTTTTAAAACATCAGAAGTTTTTCATGAAACTGAGACCCACATTAATAATACATTTAATCTCCACCCAGTTTGCTAATACAGAGCAGTCAGCCTCTTACAGGATGTAAAGACAACCTAACCCAGTATAAGAGTCAGTGAAATTCACAAGGAAAGCCAAAAATTGGATGCCTCATTCACAACCAAAAAATATCAAAGGGAAGGACATAATCATAGACAATGAGGGTTGAAGGAAACTCAGGAGGTCACATCTAGTCCAACCCCCTGCTCCAAACAGGACCAGCCCCAGCTAGATCATTCTAGCCAAGGCTTTGTCTAGCTGGGCCTTAAAAACCTCCAAGGATGGAGACTCCACCACCTCTCTGGGTAACCTTGTTCTAGTGCTTCATCACCCACCTCGTGAGAAAGTTTTTCCTAATATCCAACCTAAACCTCCCTTGCTGCAACCTGAGCCCATTGCTTCTTGTTCTGTCTTCTGCCCCCACTGAGAACAGCCCAGCTCCATCTTCTTTGCAGCCCCCCTGCAGGGAGTTGACACAAAGCCTAAATAAATAAAATCCCAGAACTACTAAATGGATAACTAAATTGAGTGCTAAATTAGGACAGGCCAAGTGAATTTTAGGTGTGATTACAGCAGAGTTCAAATGGGACTATTTTCTTACAAGTTAAAGGAGACTTATTTCCCATTATATGTGTAAAATTTTTTACCACTGTGACTTAGACAAAAAAGTATGCAAAAAACCGACTAGTTAGCTCTGCCTGCCTTTCTGCAAGCTCTGCTGCTCCGATTCTTCGACAACAGCACTTCAGAGAAGACTGCCAAATCAGAAAGAGGAAGCAGAGCCAAATATAAACATGGTGAGGCAAGTGCTTCAAAAAGAAAAAAAAAGAAAGAAGAAAAAAGTTGATGGAACTACCAGCCCTCAGCAAGGATGCTGCGTATTTGCCCTGGGACAGCCAGAGAATTTACCCTGGATCAGACCAACAGGATAAACCTGTGAAAAGACAACTGGGGGGGGGGAGGGGGGAGAGAGAGATGGACTTGCAATTCTGGCATGTCTGCTTTCATGTAAAAATGCCTAATTCCCTACAACAGGCAGCTGGCTAGTTTCTAACAACTCGCGTTGCTTCAGGATACTAACACCAGAGTACTTGGGTGCCAATTATAAATACGACTTAACCATTCTGAATGCCCTGATTCAGTGACGCACAAGGGTCTCTCGCATGGAAAGAGATTCTGCTGCTCACTTTCTCCATTTTGCAACACCTATCCACTCTTACTACATGTCCATTACTTTCAAGCCAGAGGTCTTTCTCTAACAATCACCTTCCGCTTAATCTGCCAGGGAAATCTTGCTGAATGTGTGACGTCACCCTAGCTTCCATGACTGATCTCAAACACAGGATTATGAGTTTACTGTAGGATCAAGGAAGGAATAGTAGGGAAGGAAGAGGAGGGGAACAGACTATTATTGTCACAAACCTCAAGAACAAGGGGGTTAGAGATGGGTATGGAAAGCTATAAGCAAATAAACTGCTTCTGGGTAACAAGAAATTCATCTAGCTCAAAGCCATCTTGCAACGGAACCGAGCAGAGACTGACCGCATTGTTTCTAGAGCTGGTCAATAATTTGCACTCATATGACCCCATTAGCAGGCAAAACCCTATCAACACGCAAACTTTGTAACCAAAACTAGACTTTTAAAAGCTGAAGCAATACAGTCTCTTTGAATAAAAATAAACAAGCCAGCAAAAGTTGGAAAGAGTTTGCAACGGGAAATTTCAACTTGAGGAACAGTGGACATAGACATCAGAAGTGATATCATAGCTAGCCTACTGAAAATGCAACATGACTTCTCTAAAGAACATTACACCATATCCCAGTTCATCGCAGAATCAATACATCAACCAATAAATACATCAACCAATTCTAAGGGTGTGCTTAAAAAGAAGAATACATGTTTTGTTTGTTTGTCACAGGCTAATCGTTCTGGAATAGCATTTTAAGATTGGCCAAATTTATAATAAATTAATCAAATTCTGTTCCTGCCACACACAACCACTGAGAGACAATCCTATCATAACACCATTTTTCTGAGAAGGAAATAAACTAGCTAGGCCCAGAACAATTCAACACTTAAAAAAAATATATATATATAACTATGATGTGACACAGTCCACAGGTTTCAGAACAAGATAAAAGAATTTTCAGAAGCAGCCACCTTCCCTGGAGCGACCTTGTCAACATCCAACAATCCTAACTGGAACCACAATATCTGCCTGAAGATTTGCTTACTGAAGTAGGTGAGTCTAACACATTATTGGGCAAGTATGAACAAAGGAGGGTAAGGCCTCCCTCACCAGACTGAAATGGGGTATGGAAATAAGAGCATCAATATACTGGGGTGGGGGGGATTATTGTTCATTTGTTTCCCTTTTTCAAAAAGGAAAAGACCACCATGAATTTGAACACACACGTATTTATGTAGTCAAGGAACTCAGCTCACTAAGGACTTACACAAGCACTGCTTACTTATTCTTGGAGGCGGCGTGGGCCTAGGAAAAAGCTAGGTTTGTCTCCCAGTTCTGCCGCCAGGTCCCTGAGTGACCTTGGGCAAGTCACTTCCTTCCTCTGACTCATTTTCCTTATCCCCACCTCACAAATTATACAGACCAAAAGCTGCCAATGGCTTCGGACATCTTCTGCACAGTAGCCATGAGCTCCAATCTCGTGTTAAATTTCTCCTCTGTAGGGATGAGAAAACAGGTTGATAATGCCAGGCTAACATCTAGAGTTCTTAGTCGATCAATTCTGAATTGCTCCACTCCATTGCAGCGGTATGTGTTTAAGGGTATGTTCATTGTTAGTTGCAGGTAATAAATAAAAAACAAACAGGGAAACTGCAAGTGCTGCATTTGTGCCTGGAGTTTCTACCCAAAGAGGAAGTTTACTTTAAACAAGATGTAGGAGATGAAAACAAAAACCAAAGATGACCAAGAAAAGAATACTGTCATCCTACAAGCAACTCATCTCATCCGAATACATCTGGGGAGGGGAGCACACAAGTCTGGGAACAATGGCAGGGCACAGCACTGCCTGGGGTTTTACTCCAGCTAAGGAAGAGGCCTGCTCAGTGGACCTGGCACCTCAGAGGATGTTCATGTTGTAGGTGTAGAAAACAGGATGCTTCTCTCTCTCACCACGATTTGCACTGCTGCTGATCTGTCCGTACACCCAACCCCAGCAATCCCCTGCACGCGCGAGCCGCTGCCTCCTCTACTATTTTAGCAAGTAGAAGTTGACAGGATCAAGCCCTGTTTTCATGACCGAACTGACTAGTCAAGATGATTCAGCCACTTGTTGGGGGGAAAAAACCGCCCCCGAAAACCACTCCCCAGATGCCTCCAAGGCACATAAAGCGAGCATCGTGTCTCACTCGCCGATTAAAACCAAGAAACCTTCGCCGCGTTAAAATCACAGCTTGCGCATCTCTCCCCGACTCAAACAGACACGTCGACTGTTACGACAAGGCAGGGCACAGTCGGTCGATTCATCCACGCTCGGTTTTCATTGAGAAGCGGAGCCGCGACGCTTCCCCCCACTCCTGACAACAAACTCCTCAAAGAACCGGACTTCAAATGCCCGCAAACGACCGCTGAAAAAAGGTATGCGTGAGGCTATTTTGGGAAGCTGAACATAAAAGCACCCTCCCCCCCTCCCCCTCCTCGCTGACGAGGCAACGGCGGTTCTACCCCCGGCGCGCACACACGCGAGGCTAAGCCGGCACAAAAGCTTCCCACTCCGACATGCGGGGTCCTAACAGCCGCCACGAAGCGCGGAACCGGAAGGGATCGTGGAGTCCAGACGGCACCCCCGCCCCGAACATCTCCTTGCTGACGCTGCACGCGTCGCCGAAGCCCAGCGCGCCCTGCGCAGACGGGACAAAAAGGCCGGGTGCCGCTGCCGCGATGCTGGCTCCGCGAGGAGCGTGTCCGCGGGGAGGGGGGGGCGCCCCGGGGCAGCCAAAATGGCGGTGAGCACGAAAACACGCCATGTTGGGGTGAGCGGGCAGCGGGGGGCCGGGCCGGGCCTTACCAGCACTGCAGGTGGAAGGCGGCGGGGCAGTGGTCGCAGCACAGCAGGTCGCCGCCCTCCTTGCAGCTGTCGCAGCTGTCGTGGTTGGGGGCGCGGGCGCCGCGGGGCGGCGCCCCCCCCGG